GTATAAATAGAGATTAAATCCCTTTGATAATCCTAATCCACGTCCTCACTACCCTGATTAATGTAGCTCATTTATTATGACTATATTGGCGGGTCATTCCTCACCTCTTATTTACACTTACACACACACACACACACTTCCTGCCAAAACTGGATTTCTTTAACACGGTTCGCCAACACTTATCATCATCACAATATAAGATTTCAACTTTCACCATTTCCCAACAAAAAACTTTTGAAGGAAACAATTTTATCATATGGAAGTTTCTAAGGCACTCAAATATGATCGATATACGATCTGTCGCTGTGGAGTCTTTTATGGGTGATTAATTATATATATTTAATAACAAAATATAAGATAACATTTTAGGTTATATAAACTAATAACTATCAGAATAAATAATCCCGAAAGGTATCAACTTCAATAATATATATCGTAAATATTTTCGATATCTCAATACACGATAACAAAAGCCTACACCGAGAATATACTATAGCAATAATTTAAGGTTACCTAAATTCTGTAAATAAATCGGAAAAAATATTATTAGTATATTGTAAAATAAATCAACTTATTATAAAATATATAATAAATATTTAAAGTATTACCGTATATAAAATAATAGACATACCTTTATATACTGTATAGGTACAATCTATATTGGATAAGAAATCTTTTAAAAATTATAACATTTATGTATGAAATGTTTTGGTAGTCAAACATTGTATATACACAACAAAAACATCAAACTATCGTACATATATACAAATATTTTAAATACTAAGTCACATGAAAAGGTTTTAGCCACTGGTAACTGTATTCGTGTTTAAAGTCTGAACATCAGCACAAGATAAGTTTATGGTATGCAAACGGGATTTCTAAAATTACCTATAATATTAATACTACCAATGAAAATACTGTGCGTGTATGTATGAATACTGTATATGTAAAAGAACATGTATTGTATACCTGTATTTACGTATAGCTTTATTTAAATGTATGTATGTATGTATGTATGTATGTATGTATGTATGTCAAGAAGTATACATAACCATCTTGACCACTAAAGGGCCTTGTGTAGTTGTCATAATATACAATAATTTTTGTGTATATTATTTAATAACTGACAACTTGTTTAATAATAAATATAATTATTTTTAACTTATTCTGTATAACTAAATTCTAAAAAAAAAATTTAAACAGTATTATTATTATTATTGTTGTTATCAATCATTATTACCGTAATAATAATGTTTCATCACACATATTGTTCTCCTTCCATCAATTAATACAATCAATTAATATTTTTTTTTCTGTAGTGTAAAATTGGCTGCAGGTTTTTGAGTAGTTGTTCACGGGGAGAAAATTTCACGAAAACTCCTGATGTGAGAAGACCAAAACCTCCTCTTAAACAACTTTTCCCATTAACCTTGGCCACCTGGGCGAAGTGTGCAGTGTTGGAGAAATACCACGAACAGCTACCTGGAGGGGGGGGGGAAATTTGAAATGTTGGGAAAGAACTACGAACGTATATCTACTTGTGGAAATACGTTTCATTTTAAAAAGTAGACGAATATTCCAGAACCTTGGGTGAGGCGCTTGAAGACGACGAAGAAAGAAAGAACCGGGAGAGAATGAAAAAAAAATTCTCTCATGATATTCAAGCCTACATCATTTTCCCTTTATAATCTCAATACGAGGGTAACAACTTCTATCCTTTTCAGCTCCTGTTTGGCTCATTGGGTCATACACCACCTGGCACTGTTGTTACGTCACACACCACCATCTGGCACTAATATTACATCACACACCACCACCTGGCACTGATATTACGTCACACACCACCACCTGGCACTGATATTACGTCACACACCACCACCTGGCACTGTTATGACGTCACACACCACCTACAACCCTGAGATACGAGCAAAGGTTTATATTGTGTTCTATGGCCTTCGTCACAAAGCTCCACCTTCCCCCACAATTCTCAAGGGATCGTAAGTTGATTTTTTTCTCATCAATTCATACAAACATTATCTAACACACTCACGTAAAATAAAATCCAAAAAAAAATCGTATCACATTACCACGATATCCTTTAACGCTACCTGGGGGAGGGAGGTTAGGTTAGGTTATATTACGCTAGGTTAGGTTTGGTTACAGAGCTTAGGGTTAGATTATGGTAAGTTAGGTTTGGTTAGGTTTGGTTACAGGGCTTAAAGTTAGGTTAGGTAGCTTTCCGGTGATTAATCTAAGTTGAAATAACCTGGTGCTAATCTTCTTGTCATCCCAAAAACCGCATCTAAATGGCGCGTTCACTTATTAACACACGTTCACTTAGCAACACACGTTCACTTAGCAACACACGTTCACTTAGCAACACACGTTCACTTAGCAACACACGTTCACTTAGCAACACACGTTCACTTAGCAACACACGTTCACTTAGCAACACACGTTCACTTAGCAACACACGTTCACTTAACAACACACGTTCACTTAGCAACACACGTTCACTTAGTAACACACGTTCACTTAGCAACACACGTTCACTTAGCAACATCACAAAGGACCCTGGGTGGTGGCGGGTTGTATGCTCACAACGGCAGGTCACACGGTAATCATCTGAACACGGTCACGCAGGGCGATATTAATCAAGGCGGTGGAGGGTAGTAGTGGGCGTGGTTGGGTGTGTGTGGTGGGCGTGGCCGAGGTGTAGTGGGCGTGGTTGGGCGTGTTGTGGACAGGTCGGTGCGGCACAGTATATAATACCTAAGGCCCCTAAGAGAGGGATGGGTGTCCTAATGAGGTGTTGATGACGGCCACAGCAGAGTCATGGCGCCACTGTACACTGTGTCAATTATTGGTTACTACTAACTATTACAGAAATCACCTGCAAATTAGACACCATAGTTTATATCAATTAAAGATTAACCACCTTAACGCTAACCTAACCTAACCTAACCACCTTAACGCTAACCTAACCCTAACCAGTTAACTACCTTGTCTCAGTAGTCAACACCCGCAATTACTACTTAACCAATTTACTAATATAGTCCACACTGACCCTCTCCACTCCAGACAGCTCAAGCCATCAAACAAGACAAGGATCCTGCAGTAAATACCGATAGAGGCACGACTCTGTTGATTAAGACTTATTTCATCTTAACCTAACCTAACCTAAACCACCCTAACCTAACCTAACCTAAACCACCCTAACCTAACCTAACCTAAACCACCCTAACCTAACCTAAACCACCCTAACGCTAACCTAATTTAATCTAACCTTAAGATTAACCGATTAACCACCCTAACGGTAACCTAACCTTATTACCATAGGCCTACCATGAGTTAAGGGTCACCTCTTTAAAACTCCATCTTACCATTAATGGAAACAAAATACCATGGAGCTATGGCGGTGTTTAAACCATGAGTAATGATCCATGGTAATGCGTATCTAACACACACACACACACGTAGGTACCATAAGACGTGGAGAAGCGTACTGGAGGAGTGTGTGGTAGGGTGGTTGGGGGTGTGTGGTAGGGTGGTTGGGGGTGTGTGGTAGGGTGGTTGGGGGTGGTAGGGTGGTTGGGGTGTGGTAGTGGTAGGGGGTGTGGTAGAGGACGTGGCTGAGTTATAGGACAGTATATGGTGTACTAGTATGGTTGAGATATGATACTGTGCAGTGGTTGGTGACGTGGGACTTAAACGGGTGTTGTGGTTAAGAGGTGGCGTGTGGTGAGGCGTGGGCGTGGTCAAGGCGTGGGCGTGGTAGTGTACTGTAGCCTGGGAATGGTGGGGGCAATACTCCTCACCACCACACCTATCTCACTTGCCCACACTACAGGAAATTTGACCACATCCCCCCCCCCATTTTTTCACACAGCACTTACTTCCACACACACACACACACACACACACACACACACACACACCTGGGGGGGAAAAACCCGGATTTTAATTAACTTATTTTTTTTTTAATATGCGCTAAAATATGCAACTTTATTACTGGGCCTTCCAATTTTATTTGTTTAATTAAATGATGGTTTTTCGTTTTAAGTCTGAAGTTACAAACACAACTCGGTGTTATAAATGTACACTGGATGTTAATACTTACAGGTATATATGAAAACTTGTTATACATATATGTTGTACCAGTATAGAGAAGGTGAAATATATGAATGAATGATTAATGAACTGTTTGGTATATACAGGCACTACCATCATTTACTCTACCACCATCATTTACTCTACCACCATCACCCTCTCTCCCTACTACCACCACTACTGCTATCACCTTCTTTCATCACCACCACTACCACAATTACTACCCCCTTAACTACCACCACACCCCCTCCATCACTCGCTGTAGCAATTTGTGATATAAATCCGTAAAAGTGACAATACTGTAGTCTCTTGTAGCTGAGCGGGGTGACACACTCCTCCCCACACTCACACTATGTCCCTCCCCCACCTGAACCTTCTTCCCTCCCCATGACTCCCGACTCTCCCCTCACTACCGCTCCTAATCTCCCCCTCCCTCAGCTCCCCCTCACAACCTTTCTCTCCCCATGACTTTCTTCAGCCCCCCCCGACTCTCCCCCCCTCAGCCCTAATAACACCCAATTTCCTGAGAATAAAAAAAAAATCCCGTTCCCTCCCCATCTAGCCAAACACTGTCCCAACATCATTTAATTCTCCCCAAACACATCACAATCCTCCCCATCTTCTCCCTAAACACATCACAATCCTCCCCACCTCTCCCCAAACACATCACAATCCTCCCAAACACATCAAAATCCTCCCACCCTCTCCCCAAACACATCACAATCCTCCCCAACAATATCTCTCTCTCTTCATCCTTTCCCCATTATTTCCCCATTCACTTCCATCTCCCACATCCCCACCTCGCCTCCCCTCCGCCAAACTCCCCACGGACCGTCCCACGGACCTCCCACACGACGTCCCCACGCCCCCACGGACCGTCCCCACGCCTCATGGACTGTCCCCACCGTCTTCCACGACCGTCCCCACGGACCTTCGGACCGTCCCACGGACCGTCCCCACGCTTCGCCTCCCCTATGGACCGTCCCCACGCCTCGCCTCCCTATGGACCGTCCCGCCTCGCCTCCCCTATGGACCGTCCCCACGACGGACCGTCCCGCCTGCCTCCCTCCCCACGGACCATCCCCACGCCTCCCCTATGGACCGTCCCCACGCCTCGCCTCCCTACCGTCCCCACGCCTCGCCTCCCCTATGACCGTCCCACGGGACCGTCCCCATGGACGTCCTCGCCTCCCTTATGGACCGTCCCCACGCCCGCCTCCCTATGGACCGTCCCCACGCCTCGCCTCCCCATGGACCGTCCCACGCCTCGCCTCCCTTGGACCGTCCCCCTCGCCTCCCTTATGGACCGTCCCCAGGACCGTCCCCGCCTCGCCTCCCTATGGACCGTCCCCACGCCTCGCCTCCTTATGGACCGTCCCCACGCCTCGCCTCCCTCATGGACCGTCCCCACGCCTCGCCTCCCTTGGACCGTCCCCACGCCTCGCCTCCCCCATGGACCGTCCCCGCCTCCGCCTCCCCATGGACCATCCCCACGCTCCCCTTATGGACTGTCCCCACGCCTCGCCTCCCCATGGACCATGCCTCCTTATGGACCGTCCCCACGCCTCGCCTCCCCTATGGACCGCCCGCCTCCCTTATGGAGCATGGACCGTCCCACGCCTGCCTCACGACCGTCCCCACGCCTCGCCTCCCTACGGACCGTCCCCGCCTCGCCTCCCCTACGGACCGTCCCTCATGCCGTCCCCACGCCTCCCTCCCCTATGGACCGTCCCACGCCTCGCCTCCCCTCCCCGCCTCGCCTCCCTATGGACTCCCCGGCCTCCCTATGGACCGTCCCCTCCCTCCCCTGGACCATCCCCACGCCTCGCCTCCCTATCCCCACGCCTCGCCTCCCTCCCCTATGGACCGTCCCACGCCTCGCCTCCCCTATGGACCGTCCCCACCTCCCCACGGACCAGCCCCCACGCTTCGCCTCCCCTATGGACCGTCCCCACGCCTCGCCTCCCCTCCCCGTCCTCACCGCCTCCCCTCCCCTACGGACCGTCCCCACGCCATCAGTATATTACCGGGCTGTATTGAGCGGTTCCCCTTCCACACCAATTTGAGGCAGTGGCTAATTTCCTACCGACCAGCAAAAGGTTGTCTGGCGATCTGAGCTGAAGAGGGGAGACACCGCGCCTGGGGGAGTGTGTTGGGGAGGAGAATTGACCGTGTCTGGGGAGTTTTGGGGAGGAGATTGAACAGGGTCTGGGGAGTGTGTTTGGGAGGAGGCTGGACCGTGTCTGGGGAGTTTTGGGGAGGAGATTGAACAGGGTCTGGGGAGTGTGTTGGGGAGGAGGATGGACCGTGCCTAGGGAGAAGGATGGGTTATGTTTGGGGAGGGAAAAGGGAGGAGGTCTTGGGGAGTGTAGGTAGGGGGGAAGAGGATAGAGGCGAGAGGGAAGGAGGGAAGGGCTAGAAAATTGCGAGTAGAAGGGAAAGGAAGGAAGGGAGGGAGGAAAATAAGAGATGGGGAGGATATTAAGGGAATGTGAGTCGGGGAGAGATAAGGGAATGGGGGCTGCCTGGCGGAGAAGTTATGGGGAGAGGGCGTGTGGGGAGAGACTGGGTGGGGAGGGAGTAGATGGAGAACACTTGTGGGGAGGGACTGGGGAAAAGGGGAATGTGGGGAGAGAGGGCGTGGGAAGGGAGGGCGGGAAGGAGGCGGGAAGGAGGGCGGGGAAGGGTGTGGGGAGGGAGGGCGTGTGGAGAGGGGAGGGCGTGTGGAGAGGGGAGGGAGGTTCTTTCATTGGACTGCTGATAGGATTACCGTGTGTTCAACGACCACTGATAATACTCTGGGTTTAACAATCATTTACCAACTCGTGCGTTAAACTACCGTCGGTAGTTTAGCGTGTTTAGGGTGTTACACTGTGCTTAACGAACAATGATGGTACTATGCACTTAACGAATAATTGTGCCACAAAACGCTTAACGATCATTTTATTATTATTGTGTTTAATGATTAGCTACTGTTGCCATCTGTTGTGTTAAACGATTAATGCTATAGTGTTTAACGAAATCGATGGGAGTTACATTGGAATCTAGTGTTTATCGATCAGTGCTTTGTGTTCAACGGCCAGTGAATAGGCGGTGGAGTTTTGTGTTTAAAGAAGTACATAGAACTTTACTCAACGAATTCTAATTTTGTTTACCGAGCTAATTCGTATAACGATCACTGATGGTATTTTGTGTTCATCAAAAATTGGCTGTATTTAGCGCTTAACGAGTGTAACGATCGCCGACAAAATATCGTGTTTAAACGATTACGGACTTGTGCTTAATGAAACATAGCAATTACGGTTACCTCGTGCATTTGACGAGTTTTCGTTTATTCCTGCGTTCAATCAATCACTCATTACCGATGTCCAACGAGGAATCATTGTCCCTGCGTTCAGTCATTCCCAACTTCATCTGGGTTGTTCAACGATAAATACCGAGACTAAATGAATGTTTGACGAGTGTGAGAAGCGAGGGTTTTAACCAAGGCGCTCAATTATACCTCGCGCGTTTAACAAGAGCTCATTTCTCCCTGCGTTCAGTCAGTCCTACCTTCATCTCAACTGTTCAACGATCAATACCGGGACTCATTGAATGCTTAACGAGAGTGAGAAGCATTTTACACAATAAGTGGGTTTTTACACGCGGCCGACGCTTAATTACAGAGAAAGACTCGAGGAAGCAGATAGCATTTTTATTTTGTTTGGGGAGGTGAAGTGGGGAGGATGGAGTGGGGAGGCGAAAGAAGATGGGGAGGTGGAATGAAGAGGAGAGTGGGGAGGAACGGAGGAGAGAGAGCGGGGAGGGGGGGGGAGTGGGGGAAAAGAAAGGGAAAACTCACAATTCCCCGATCCGAAACCTAACCAAACCAACCAAATATATCCATAATCCAAATAGAACCAAACCTGGCCTAACCTAACCAAACTATCTTCAGGTGGATATAACTTAATGTAAACCGAAATCAACCAAACTTAACCTAACATATCCTAACCAAACTTAACCTAATCCTACCTTAGCCTAACCAAATTTAATCTAATCCTAACCTAATTCCCAACCAATCCTAGCCTGTTATCTGACACCTTTAAGAAAATTACTCTCACAATTGCCAGGATAACTTTGACTTCTTTTAACTAACTTACCGAAGGTTAGGTCAGGGTTGGGCTGGGTTAGGTCAGGGTTAGGTCGAGTTAGGTTAGGGTTAAGTTAGGTCGGGTTAGGTTAGGGTTAAGTTAGATTAAGTTAGGTTATGGTTAATTTAGGTTATATATCAACCGTATTGGGTCGTTTGGTTAGATTAGGTTGAAACAGGCACGGTAGCTGGATAAACTTACACTAAATTACACTGATGAGTTTCAGCCATGGTTGATAGGTTAATGCTGGTTCAGGTTAGGTTAGGTTAGGTTGAGCCAAAAGGTTAAGTTCTAGTGACTCACAAGATTAATTTTGACCAAAGTAGCTCGTTAGAATTGAGTTAGATTGGTCAGGGAAATTCAGATTAGATTAGGTTGGATTGGGTCGTTCGGATTAAGATAGAGTCGTTACGGTTGGGGTTATCTTGATTGGGCCTTTAGATTGGGTCTTTAAATTAGCTTTGGCTGGAATGGATTAGACTGATTGGTCGGATTAGGTCAATGAAGCATATAATCTCTCACACACTATAGTAGTTACCTGTGCTGTGTGTTTAACGATTACTGGTAATGTTATCAATGAGGTAGACTAACGTTGCACCCAGTGGCGGTCAACGAGGATTTAAGTGTTTAACGATGATGATAAGGACCGTGTTTAACCTTTTTTGTGACAACCGCAGCTTTCTCCTTAGTTTAACGATAACTAACGACAGGCTGTAACTATGATGTTTAATGCGGGTTGAGTGATAATGGTTAAATTGTACTTGGAACAATCACAAGCCTTAAAATGATCAACGCTTTTCCTGATAATCGTAGTTCTATCTTATGTTTAACGACGATTAGTACTGTAGTACGATGAGGTGCTTAACGTGAATGTTTATGGTAGTAAGAATTAGTATTTCACATGTTTAAAGAGAGTTTACTTCCCTTGCGCTTAACGACATCGAACTTCTTTCGTTTACCTGTCAATTTTAATCAATGTTCAAGGATCACATGTTACTTCATATACAGTATATAAGGTAACGATAACCACGTCATTCGTTTATCACTCAATTCTTGTGTATAACGATCACTCTTAATCTTATGCGTTAAACGAATATTTATCTAATATGTTTAGTGATAATCTAAGGTGATTATTATAAATGTTTAACGAGATTTCATACTGCTTGACGACAACTTTTTTTATATTTAACTTGGCATTATTGTCATGGGTTCAAAGATCATTTATGTGTATAACGATTGCTTGTATAATATACGACGTCTATTTAAGAACCACAAACACGTTCAACGATAACTAATGGCCTGATGTAGATGTTGTTAATTTTAACGACCACGTAATACGTTCAACGAAGAGTAATACATTTAGCGATCCCTACTATCAACTAACACGTTTAACTACCCCTATCCTCTCGTTTAATAAATTCTTAACGACTGATGTACAATGATAAACAGTATTTAGTCATTAATAATCAATGAAACCCTTCGTTAACCAGTACTAAAACGATCCGCCATGTACTCAAACATGATTAACCCAATTACCGTTCTACCTATTATCGTTTTAGTACAAAATACTTTCAATACTCAACAGGGTTCAACGACAAGTGATATTTATTTCCAGCGTTCAACTATTATGTTTAGTTTAAAAAGATTTCACTTAACGCTACAAAATTATCGTCCGCTCAACGACCAACACTATGTGTTTAACGATCGGCGAGACTGGAGCTGACTTGGCTTACGAATCAACGCAGGTTAATCGAAAAGGGGATTGGGTCGTTAGATATGGTTAACTGGTAATATATATATATATATATATATATATATATATATATATATATATATATATATATATATATATATATATATATATATATATATATATATATATATATATATATATATATATATATATATATATATATTTTTTTTTTTTTTTTTACTTCAACTAATTTACACCGTAGGCCTAGTCTCCCCTATAACAAAATTCCAAGATTCCGCATAAATAAATAACCGAATTATAGTCAATGACAATAGTTATTTTTGTTAAACTGCTATATCAAGTCTGGTTATATTGTTCTACAGGCAAAGGTTTAACGATCCTCAATATGACTTACAGTATACCAAAATGGTTCAAAGACCGCAAGAGTTTAATGCGTGGGCGTTTAATTCTATTGCATATTATGTTAATTTTTTAGCATCTCTCTCTCTCTCTCTCTCTCTCTCTCTCTACAGATTCTAAATATTTAACAATAATATTTCAATGTTAATATTATCAACACTTACCAATTCATTCTCATTAAATGTTATAAATTTGAAAATGTCCTTAACTTTATATATATATATATATATATATATATATATATATATATATATATATATATATATATATATATTATATATATATATATATATATATATATATATATATATATATATATATATATATATATATACAGAGAGAGAGGTAATGACTGACTCAAACATTTAACAATCCTCGCTAGAATGTCGACTACTTACACACATCGTCAGCCATTACCATACGTTCAAACATTTATGATAAATTTTTTATTTCTAACACCAACGCTTGTTAATTCCACGTACTTTACAATTATTGCGTAAATGGTTATTTTAACACCTCGCTTGTGTGTATACTGTATATTCCACATTTCAACAATTTCTAGAGTGATGTTAATATTATTACAACTCGTAGTTTTATTCCACAACACGCCATTGCTTTACTTCACACACATATACAACATTTCGTAGATGTTAATTGTCAAGATTTTTTTTGTCTCCCAAATTTTAATATTTTACGCATTTTTAACATCTGATATACCGGTATATAAATTACCATGCATCTTATTCACGTCTACTACCACATTATAACATTTCCAGTGTGTTTACCTCGATAGACTTTTATTTTAACATTTCACCGATTACTG